AACAGCATATAAACTAGTGAACATAATAAACTATTTTGAGAAATATTGGCCTGGGTTTTAGTCAGGACCTTAAATAATTAGGCAAGAAACAGAACTGAGAGGGTATACCAGTCAAGGAGAAATGTCACAATCAAGGACAACTTCAGGGAAATGTGACAGGTAATAAGTATATCAGATTTAAAGACTAATTTAAACTATGTTTTTTCTAACATCTTAAGGATATTAAGAAAAGGAGTACCAATTTTTTAGCAATTCATTGTTACAACAAAGAAAAAATAAATGGATATAATTTGACTTAATTTTAATTATAGATCTTGGAACATTTGAAAGTATTTTCTTTGCAAGGAACAACTTACATTTATATAGAGAAACCTTCCAAATGCTAACTTGGACTACTTGCATAGAAAATAAAATCAAAGTAACTAAAACTAACTCCATGAGCTGAGGATTTCGCATATGCTTCAGAAAAGAATTTCTAAATGCATTTATAAGGCTTCTACCTCTAGCATGTTCAAATGAATAATGGCTCTAAGACTCAGGAAGCAAAAGCTGTGAAAAGATAGCTTGAGGGCTAAAGATGGCTCTACCATGCTGACTTAGGCCACATGCTTTCTTCATATGCTACTCTGAAAGTAGGCTAACAAAACAGATAATGAAATGCTACTTCATTTAGGATTGGGATCTGAGTCATGTTTCTTCTCTATTACCCACAGGGCAAGAAACACAGATCACATTGGCAATCTAGTGAGGAAGTTCTTAAATTATTAGAACTTTAACTCAGAAATCATCCATGACAGACTAAAAATTCCTTGAAAAAAAGAAAGAGCAAAAAGGGACAAGCTTTTAAAATTATTATTATAAATAAATAGTTAAAATAAATTCCTAGAAACAGAAATTTGGGCAAATGTTTGGTTTTTGTTCAATAGTTACTTTAAAAAAAAAAAAAACCCTATATTATTCTATAAATAGAATGCTTTCACCCAAGCTCCTAAAATGTATTTCACAAAATTTCAAAGGAAATATACTAAAGTTTTACCTTGGCAAGCATCACTGCTTTTACTCATTTTGAACACAAAAAAACTTTGGAAAAGAGAAAATTAGTGTGCACCTCAGTGCTGAAAAAAACGTATGAAACAATTCTCACTTCTTAGTACCAGAGCAGTTCTAAAAAGTGTTTGTTACTGTTTTGATTTTTGATAGTCAAGTGCAAAATGTAGCGGGTACCAGGACTCTAGAGAAGAGAATGACCAATACAAATCTGAAAAGACTTTATGGGATCTCTTATTTGAAGGCTATATTGTACACAAAGAGCTAAATTCTTGAAGAGTTTTTTTAAAAAACATTTGATGCTTAAACATGAAAAATATAATTTCATGTTTTGGTTTAGAAATTGTGTCGTAAGCACCTTGTGCACCCACCAGAGAAAGGAAAATCCACCCAAGCATCTGAAAAGAACGTTTTAAAAGGAACAAGCTCATCACATCTTTTTTGGATTTACAAACTGGTAGTTATTAATATTCAAGATTTTCAGAGAAGTCTTTAAGTTTTCCATTAGGCCACAAGAATCAGTCTGTAGAGAAAAGGACAAGATGGGAAGAGAGACTGGGTAGCACAAAGGAACTCTTGCTGGAACTGCCAAATGCCTCACACATGGAATGACAAGTTGTTAGTTGGTTCTGCAGTTTATCTTTCCTGATGTACAATGCCAGAATATAAATTAATAGCATTTTATTGCTCATACAAATCTTTTAAAATGGTAGGAGATGATAAAAAGGACATAAAAGCATCATAAATGTATGGCAGGACCATGTAACACTTCTGTTCCTATTCCAGCCCACCCTCCTCACACCTCACATTTATATCCATTACACATTAAATTGATTGAAAATTTTTTCTTTCAAAAATAACAAAACACATATATACATGTTTTAGAACTACTCTGGTACTAAGAAGTGAGAATTGTTTCATATGCTTTTTCAGTACTGAGGAGTACACTAATTTCTTCTTTTCCAAAGTTTTTTGTGTTCAAAATGAGTGAATGCAGTGATGCTTGCAAAGGTAAAGTTTTCCACTCACATGAATTACTAGAAATAATTTTTTTTTTTTAAAAAGAACCACTGAGAATGAGTGATATTAAGTGACTTAACCAAGACACAAATGTCATTTGGTGGCACACTGAGTTTTTGAATCCTATCAAGATAGTGCCTAATAAAATTATTTTTATTTTGAGGCTAGAAAAGACTCTTCAAGGAAAGGTGGATCTGAGAGGAATCTACAAATTGTAAAAATGGAAAGCTCTTCATAGCTAAGTCAGCATGAGGGCACTGGCATTAGTACTTTTTAATAAGACAAGAAGGAGAAACTAAAAGATCTTCAACATCAAGAAAGTTAAAGCAATCTACATGGAATGGGAGAAAATTTTTGCAAACCATAGGTAAGAGACTTATATCTAGAATATATAAAAAGGTCTTATAATTCATGAAAAAAAAATTCAATTTTTAAAAAATGGGCAAAAGATCTGAGTAGATATTTCTCTTAAGATAATATTGATATTGATATGGGGGAAAGAAACTCTCCACCTGTTAGATGTCCAGTATGAGTTTGTGTTCTCTAGATGGAGAAATGAAGTCTAGGAACAGTGGAGGTTAACAGCAGAACATATTTATTGGGCAAAGAAAGCTTCTGTTTGAGAGAGACATAAGTGGTCCTGAGTGGGTTACCAAAGACCCTACCTTTCCTAGGGATTTTTATAGAGCCAAACCATGAGGTGAGGCAGGTCCAAGGTGGGGGAAAATGGAAAATCACAAGGTAGGCATGAGATGGGACAAAACTATGGCTGACCAGTAAGAATATGAGCCTAACTACTCAGGTAATACTGATTGAATGGGGATCAAATGGGGAAACAAGTCATGTAGCAAGCTGGCATGAAACAGAAGAGGGGCTTTTCCAGGAGGAAGTGGGTCAGGGACTCTTCTTGGCTTTTTCAAGGTAATGAATACCTATTTAGAATATCAATCACTGCTGCTTATCTCTAGGGTAAGTGTGTGGGTGTATTCATTTCATCTTTTCTCCTTAGGTCTGGCCCTCAAAGGATGCGCCTCCCCCACGGAAGCAATACATCCCATCTTCTGCACTGGCTCCTTTGAGGGCCTAGCTGTTTCTGACTGGCTACAATATTTCTATGTAACTTAGCTGTCTATAACAATATGTAAGTAGCCAATAATCCTAGCGAAGGAAGCTCAGCATCATTATTCATTAGAGAAAAAGAAATCAAAATCTTAACGAGATATCATTTCAAATCCCCAACAAGTTAAAACAAAAAAAGACAGTAACAAGCATTGGTAAGGTGATGGAGATATTAAAACCTTCAAGCAGATCTGGTGGGAACAGGAAATCTTGCAGCCACTTTGGAAAAAGTTTGGCAGTTCCTCGAAAGGCTAAACACACAATTATAGTATGACACAGTAATTACACTGCCAGGCATTACACCCGAGAGAAATGAAATCATGTCTACATAAAAATCTTTACAGGAACATTAATACCAGATGTTATTAATACCCAGAAAATGAAAATGATTCAAAAGTCCAACAATGGCTGAATGAATAAATAAAATTGTGCACATCCATACAACCGAATATTATTAGATTATCAACATGAATGAAGTACTAACATGCTAAATGAAAGACACAATCACAAAAGGCCGTGTATTTGCTGGGTATGGTGGCACACACCTGTAACCCCAGCACTTGGGAAGATGAGTCAGGAAGATCACTGGGAGTTCGAGGCCAGCCTGTGCCACATAGTGAATTCAAGGCCAGCCTGAACTACACAGTAAGATCGTGTCTTAAAACAAACAAACAAACAATGAAAAACAAAAAAAAAGCCTGTATATTTTAAGATTCTATTTGTATGAAATGTCCAGAATGAGCAAACTTTGAGATAGAAAATAGATTAGTGGTTGCCTAGGGCTGCTGGAGGTCAAGAATAATGGGGTGGGGAGTGGCAAGGTAGTACTAAAAGCTGCAGTTTGTTTTGGGAGGATATGAAAATGTTCTAAAACTGCAGTGATGGTTGCACAATTCTGTGTCTATATTAAAAACAATGAACTGTATACTTCAAATGGTGAACTGTATGGAATATAAATTATGTCTCAAAGCTCCTATTAAAAAAAAAAAAAAAAAGACTCCCTACCTGGCATTTTCTACAACAGTTAATCGCTAGTGGGTAGCTCTTTGAGTAGAAAATGCAGAGGCAGACAACAGGTGCCTGAAACAGTTAAACTAATAACCTAGCAATATCTCAACTGGAAGCTATGAGAAAAGTTCCGGGACTTGATGTGAGTGGGCACTAGTAGATATCAAATATGAAGGATGGTCTTTGCCCTAATCACGGAAACAACTTAACAAAACAAAAGACGTTGTAGTGAAAAATGGATGGGTACAGAGCATATAATTCAGAGGCTTAACAGGTAACTTTCGACTCGGCTAGACTTCACTTTAGTAAATTCTGGTCCTTCAGCGGCAGAGAGGGGCTTGTAAAGAAACGAGGCGATGAGTGGGTAACGAGTTACTCAATTTTAAGGGATCACGAGTTGACAAATTTAGAACAGAAAGGGTTATTCGAAGGTAAGGCATGAAAGAATGCAATGCCATCTAAGGGATGTGGGTGGTAAAACTCTGTTGGGGTAACACGGCTATCTTTCAATCAAGGGTTAAAAAAAGCCATTTTCTGTTTCCTACCGGTCTCTTAGAAACAAAATGCTGCAACTCAAGGGGATAAAAGTCATCCTCAGTAAAAACTACACTGGATTATTACTTCTAACAACAGAGTTCATTTTGCATTTTTAAAAAAGTGTAATGCTCACACCTGAAAGTTTTATAAAACAGGACAAAAAAGTATTTTTCTTGTAGCAACAAAAGCCTGAAAGGACAACATGGCTGTGCACACGGCTGCAAACCGAGGCAGCGAAGAATTCCCCAGGTGGGTCGGGACGAACGTACCTCGAGTCACCCCCGGGGAGAGACGACGCGAAGGCATCCCACGGGCTGCATTTTTGTCAGTAACCCGAGTTGGGCGCTCCCGCCTAGACGCTGCCTGCGGCCCAATGCGGAGGCGGACGAGCAGTGGCCGCCCCAAAACCAGGTCCCCACGCAGCTCCGGGGCCGCACCCCGTTTCCATGGCGAGCATCAACTCTGCAGGCGCCACCCGGAGGAGGGCGCGAGACCAGAGGCGGGGCCGTGCGTCCCCAGGCCGGACGGCGGGCCAGGCGAGGCGGCGCGGAACGGGGCGCGCGTCCTTGTCTCCAGGCTTGGGCCAACACTCCCTGGACCGAGGTGCTGAGTGGTGCTGACACTCTACTCAGTCCTTGTGTTTGGACGCCGCACAAAAACCAAGCAAGCTGCAGCGCCACTTGTGAACTTTCACCCCGGCACGCCCCCACGCAAGAGCGTCGTTGCCCTGGTGACGTGACGTTTTTCCGCTTGCCTGGGCTGGCCAGACCTGCAGCCGCCATTTTGGGGTCCTGCAGTCGCTTGGTGTCTGCGATTTTGCATGACCCCTGACTCAGGAGTGTAGTAAGACTCCAGTCTCAGGGCCCTGACCCTCACTACCCAACAAACCAATGCAGATGAATGTTTTAAAGTGATACCTTATGCTTCCTGTTAAACTTAGAAAATTTGAAAGTCCATACAGGCATACTACTTCATCACATTTGACAGGCTCTGTGTTTACAATTTGAAGACTTGTTGCAACTTTGCCTGGATCAAGTCTGTTGGTGTCATTTATTTTGGTAATTTTTGTAGTATTTCAAACTTTATCGTTTATATAATGTGTTATGATCAGTGATTTTTGGTGTTATGAGAACTACTTTGAACAGCACCCAACTGTCAATTGGTAAATACGTTTTGACAGCACTACAGACCAGCTGTTCCCATTTCTCTCCCTCTCCTTTTGGGCCTCCCTATTCTCTTAGACACAACACTACTGAAACTAGAGCAATTAATTACCCTACCGTGGCCTCTAAGTATATATGCGAGAGGAAGGGTTGAATAACTCTCACTTTAAAAGCTGGATTTAGTGAGGAAGGTGTGTTGAATGAAACCCGAGATGGGCTGAAAGCGAGGCTTCTTGCACCTGTTAGCCAAGTTGTGCATGCAGAAGAAAAGTGTTTGAGGGAAATTAAAAGTACTACTTCAGGAACACAAGAATGATAAAGCAAAATAGACTTATTGTTGATACAAAAAAAAATTTAAGTAGTCTGGTAGGAAGAGTTAACTATCTGCAACATCCTCTTAAACGAGAGTCTAATACCAAACAAGGCCCTAACTTAACTCAGTTCTGTGAAGGCTGAGAGAGGTGAGGAAGCTACAGAAAAAAAGTTTGAAGCTACTATGAGGTTTAAGGAAAGACACCATTTTCATAACACAAAAGCAGAAGTACTAATATAAACGCTGTCCCCAGTTTTCCAGAAGATGTAGCTAAAATAATTCATGAAGGTAGTTATATTAAGAACAGATTCTCAATGTATGTGGAGCCTGAAGATGCGACTGAATTACTGTAATCCCAGAACAAAATTTTAACAGTTGAGGCATTGCTTCTTACAAATGAGCAAAGAATGTGGTTTCTTAAGATGAAATCTAGTCCTGAAGATGCTGTAATCATTAAGGTGACAACAAAAAATTTAGAATATTACATAGACTTAGCTGATAAAGCTGCGCCAGAGTTTGGGAGGTCTGACTCCAAATTCGAAAGACGTTCTGTTGTGTAAAATACTATCAAATAGTATTGCATGCTGCATAGGATTCTTTTATGAAAGGAAGAGACAATTGGTGCAGCAATACTTCATTATTGTTTTACAAAATTTCCATAGCCTCTGAAACCGTCAGCAACCCACCACCCTGATCAGTCTGCAGTCATGAACATCAAGGGAAGATCTTGCACCAGCAAAAAGATTTTGATTGGCTAAAGGCTGATAATTAGCATTTTTTAGCGATAAGGTATTACGTGGTTAAAGTATATATTGTTTTCGCAGATATGAGAAAACTTTTATATACACTGAGAAACCATAACCATTGTGTGACTTACTTTATTCTGAAATTTTGCTTTATTGAGGTTGTTTGGAACCAAACCTGCAATATCTCCTAGGAATGTCTTCCATGTGCTATCAACCCTTTATTGTATTTTCAGTGAGTGGATTTGTGGCTGCATTTGCAAGTGCAAGGAACTAAAATGTGCATCACTGATATGTGTTACTAAGATAAATATTTATCACTAAAGTAAGGCAAAACTTACTGTTTCGGTATTTTTTAATGCCACAGCTAGTTAATATTAGTGTGGCATTCGTTTTATATCCAGGAATATTTACATGATGGCCACAAAGACCTCAATTACTGTATTCTTCTTAAAACTATCCATTTACCCAATGTTCGTTGGTCCCATTCTCCACGATCTTTGATTTACCTCCCATGTTCTGGACACCTTCCAGATTATTCACGAGAAGTCCTCAAGGTGACTCCTAAGAGCTTTTAACAATTGTCAGTCTCAGCTGTTTTAGTGGCTCACATAAGAGAACTTTGAAGGCAATTTGTTGATATCAGGGTACTTGTGTTTCCCCATGTGTTTGGTACTCTGCAACTTATGTGCACTTGGGACTCACAAACAATTTGAGGACTATCATATTTTTATCTCTGTACTTCAAACCTATAAATGTACACTAAAACTGTTGCTTTCCCCCCTAGCTAAACAAACTGATGGCTTAGTTCTAAAGGATTTAGGTTTTCAGGGGATAATGGAAAAAATTTCATTAATGTTAAAAGAAAGTCAAATCTTATTTTATAAAAAATAGATAATTCTCTCTAGAAGGAAAGTGTAGAAACAGAGAAGTAGAACACAGAAATTTTGGGGAAATTAAAGATGGCTACAAGTGAGTTTTAAAGAATGAGCTTATCTTTCTCAATTCAAGTAGAAGTTAGCTAGATGAAGATGTGACAGAAGAGATAGTCCAGGAAGAGGAATATTAGCTCATGAATTCATTTAACAAGTGTTTACAGCCATGCTGGATTGAATAATACTGTACAGTACTGCATGCACTAAAAAAACCACACACAAGAAAAACATTCACAGCAAATATGCACAGGTCTGTCTATGACCCCAATCTCAACTAGAAGAAGCCACGACCATGCATCAGGTCAGGGAAGATAGCTGGGGTCAAGTTTGTCACCCGATATGGAGTTCATGACCAGAAGCAACATTTTGCCGAATGCTTCTGTTCATGCACTAGTTTGCAAACTGAAGCAGTCATGAACCAAGGTATTGCCATATATCATGGTTTTTCTCACTCTTCATCAAAATATGAAGTCAATAACTGACTTATTTCTTGTTTAAATGAGTATAAGAACTTTATCCAGATTAAAATAGTGCAAATTTAATACTATTGAAAGAAAAATTTAATGATTTTATAGAGCTATGGAAAGCACACTGTGTTAATGATATTGAATTATAATTAACTAATTACAATTACATTCACTATTGTACAGTGGTACCTTGGTTCATGAGCTTAATTCTTTCCATGATTCTGGTCCCAGAATTCATTCCACTGTTCTAGTTGCAAGTAAATTTTGAAGTACCGCTGTAATTCACTATAAGTAACTTGATAACTTTCTATTGAGCAAGTCACTAAGTTTCCAGACTCCAATGACTTGCTTAATAATATTAAGTGATTGAGCCACTTACTTAAATTTCTGTGTAACTCTATTATTTTGCTGTTGCATTTTTTCGTTAAAGTTAGCATTACCATGGTAAAAATAAAGAGTAAAATTTTTATTCTTGTGCAAGGAAAAGTTTTACAGTGCATAAGTTTTCTAAATAACATTTAAATATAAGAGTGAACTTTATTGCTAAGCAGATGTAAGACAGGATTGTCAATGGAAAACTAAGCTCTGTTATCTTCAGTATTGACCACTCTTCCCGGGACAGTAATTTAGTCAATATTAGTATCAGGTAATGTGTCACTTTAATCAGTGTGCATTAAATACCAGCTATTTACCTTCTCAGAGGTCTTTCTTTATGCTGAATTAAATAAACTGTGTTAAAGCCAGTATATTGTGAAGATTTCTGCCTTGTAATAGTCACGTTATTTTATTTTTAGCCTCTTTTTGATTTAAAGTAGTGGTCAAAGATGTTGAAGCCCTTGAAGATGATTTTCAAGAAAAAGATGGGCTGGAGCTACCCAGACAGTAATCAGAAACAATTAGGAAAAATGCACCAAACGCCTCATTCTTTCTCTAGGCTTCATGGCAAATTACATTTAATATTTCAGGCTTGTTGCATTTAAAATAAGGCTTCCAACTAAGCAATTTTCAACACAACTCCAATCAAAAGATATTGCTTAAAATTTTCTTATTGCTATAGCAGTGAAAAGAGTGATTGTCTATGTTGATTAGCCTTGAAGATTGCTTTGGGAAGAATTTGACAGTTCTAGTAACATTCCCATTATAATTTACAGTCTGTGAAAAATTGAATACTACATGGAGTATCAGGATAGTTTAGGCTTCCTTTTATCTGCTAATTTTATTCTACTTTAGCACAAAGAGGATCCTTGTGATGTGTATTTTAATGTATATATAATTTACTCTTTAATCATGGTTCTTTAAGATTACTTAAAATAATAGTGTATTAAAATTACTTGATATATTTTTTTAATGCCTACTATGCAAAATTTGTGCTAGCCAGTTTGGCAGATGCAGAGATGTAAAGCATTTACTTTAAAGATTTTATAATATAAAATTCACAATAAGAAATGAACAAAATAAAAACAACTTGAACGAGTTGTTCAGTTATGACAAACGAGGCTCATACTGTTGCATCTGCATATTTGTAAGAGCTAAACAGAGGTTATATCTTCATGATACCACAAAACCTGACAAATGAGGGGCCATCTTATTCATTCATTTATAAATTCAATTCATGAACATTTATTTTGTGTTCACTAAGAGAGAGAAAGTTGGTTAGAGGAGCAGTGACGGATAGAAGAGAAACAGTACTCCTATCATGGGTGTGCTGGTGGAGTGGTGGGGTAATACAGATCTGCAAAAGTGGCTTTGAAAGAAATTTAATGATATTTATTAGAAACTATCTAGAATGCATATGGTCTTTAACTGATTAATACTTTCCTGTGGAAAATATTCAAAGGAAGAAAAAGAATTTATGACATATGCATTTATTAAATATTTCTAATGCTAGAAAATTGGAATGTTGCATGATTTGCTGATTAAGATAATTATATTACTTTCCCTTATTAGATTAAAAATAATAAAATGATTAAAATGATAACTGTTAGCTTTCTAACACCACAGAACAAATTTAGGTATGTAATGTGTAAAAGTTAAAAATA